TATAAGAGCTAGTTCCAGGACAGGCTTCAAAGCTACAGAGAAAACCCTGTCTTGAACAAACCAAAAAAAAAAAAAATGGAAAAAGAAATCAGTATGGCAATTTCTCAGAAAATTGGGAATTCCTCTACCTCAAGACCCAGCAATACCACTCTTGGGCATATACACAAAGGATGCTCAGTCATACCACAAGGACACTTGCTCAACAATGTTCATAGCAGCCTTAATTGTCATAACCAGAACTTGGAAGCAACCTAGATGTCCCTCAACTGAAAAATGGGAATGGATAAAGAAAATGTGGTATATTTACGCAGTGAATAGTACTCAGTTGTTAAAAAAAAATGCCATCGTGAAATTTTCCAGCAAGTGGATGGAACTAGAAAACATCATCCTGAGTGAGGTAACCCAGACCCTGAAAGACAAATATGGTATGAACTCACTCCTCAGTGGACATTAGCTGCAAAGAACAGGATAATCAGGCAACAGCCACAGACACAGAGAAGCTAAGTGACAAGGAGGGCTCCAGGGGGTCCCTATGAATCTGACTGTGAAGGGAAAACAGAACAGACCTCACAGGGGGCTGGAGCAATGGCTCAGTGGTTAAGAGCACTGACTGATCTTCCAGAGGACCTGGGTTCCATTCCCAGCACCCACATGGCAGCTCACAACTGTCTGTAACTCCAGTTCCAGGGGATCTGAAACCTCACACCAATATCTATAAAATTAATATATCATATATAAAAAAATAAAATGAAAAAAAAAGACATCACAAATGGATGGGGAGCTCTGAATGGGGGAGTGGGTATGCTAGAGGTCAGGTAAGGGGAGGATGGAGAGGGAGAGTACTGGGAGTACTGGGAGGAACAGCTGGAATCTGGGGGCACCTCTGGGATGAGCTAGAAACCCAGTGCAATCCCAGAAATCTATGAAGGTGACCCTAGCTAAGATTCCTAGCAATCAGGGATACAGAGCCTGAACCAGTCATCTCCTGTAACCAAGCGAGACTTCCAGTTGAGCATTTGGTACCCAAACCCAGTCACAAACTCTTTGATGTACAATTTGTCCTGATTTCAAGATGTGCTGTGGTAAAGGTGGCACAGAAATTATGGAACTAGCCAGCCGATGACTGGTCCAGCTTGAGACTCATAGTGCCAGGACCCAGAAGCTGGCTAGCCCGGAGGCCTAGGATGGAGCCTAACATGGCTGGTAAAAGCGAAAGTCAATGAAATGGTTCCTAATGATAGTCCTATATTCATAGATTGTTGCCTAGTCTGTCATCAGAGAGGTTTCCTCCAGTGACTGATGGAAACGGATGCAGAGACCCTCAGCCAAACATTAGGCAGGCTTTGGAAGCCTGTGGAAGAGGCAGAGGAAAGATCGTGGCAGCCAGAGAGGTCAAGGACATCACAAGAAAACTGATGGGATCAAGCCGAACAGCGGTGGCCCACGCCTTTAACCCCAGCATTAGCGAGACAGTTGCAGATGGATCTCTTTGAGTTCAAGGCCAGCCTGGTCTACAAGATCTAGTTCCAGGACAGGCTCCAAAGCTACAGAGAAACCCTGTCTTGAAAACACACACACAAAAAAAAAAGAAAGAAAGAAAGAAAGAAAATAAGAAAGAAAAGGAGGGTGGGAGGGAGGGAGGGAGGGAGGGAGGGGAAGGAAGGAAGGCGAAGGAGGGGAGGGAGGAAGGAAGGAAGGAAGAAAGAAAGAAAGAAAGAAAGAAGAGAGGAAGGAAGGAAGGAAGGAAGGAAGAAAGAAAGAAAGAAAGGAAGGAAGAAAGAAAGAAAGAAAGAAAAAGGACAGAATCAACTAACCTGTACTCATAGGGGGCTCACAGGCACTAATCCACCAATCAGAGCGAGCACCTGAATGGAACTGACCTAGGCTTTCTCCTCATATGTTATATGCTTGATCTTCTTGTGGGACTCCTAGCAGTGGGAGCAGCACTGTCTCTGACTCTGATTTTGGGACCCTTTCCCCCTACTGGGTTGCCTAGGTCAGCCTTCATAGGAGAGAAGGTGCCTAGTCGTGATATGTCATGGCTGGCTGGTATACACGGGATACCTTTCTGAAGAGAAGGGAAGGGGAGGTTAGGGAGACAAACTGGGCTGAGAGGACGGGGAGAGGGGAAACTGATGGGGCTAGAAAAATAAACAAATTAATAGCCAATTAAAGATTTTGTTGTTTCTGGTTTTTGGAGACTGGTTCTCTCTGTGTAGCCCTGGCCATCCTGGGGATTGCTCTGTAAATCAGACAAACCCCAAACTCACAGAGATCTGCCTGCCTCTGCCTCCCGAGTACTGGGATTAAAGGCATGCACCACCACCGCTGGTTTTGAAGAATAAGTTCTTTGATGTATCTATCTACTAATCCCTAAAAGGATTATTACATTGCCTTTTCTAGCTGCTGAAACCGTCGGGGACTTTAGACCCACAGAGCGCTGGAGAGGCATCTCTCTAGCTTTTCTTTCTTTCAGTGAGATCTAGAAAATATTTATTTCTCTGGGTGGTGCTGGCATACACCTTTAAACCCAGCACTCAGGACGCAGAGGCAGGTGGATCTCTGAGCGGTCAAGGCCAACCTGACCTACAGAATGAGTTAACAAACAAAAACAAAAAAGACAAAGAAATATTTCATTATTTTTAATTGAAAATAGATTTTTTTCATGCAGTATAATTCTGATTACCTGCTTTTCTCACCCCCAAATCCTCCTATATTCTCCCCAACTCCCCTCCCACTCGAATCCACATACTTTCCTGTTCTCTCTCATTAGAAAGCAGGCATTAGGCCAGTTGTGGTGGCACACGCCAGTAGGATTTGCTGAAGGAGGCAGAGGCAGGAGGACCATGAGTTCGAGGACAACTTGGGCTACACATTAAAAAAAAGAAAGAAAGAAAAGAAAAGAAAACAGGCATCAGAAAAAAAGAGAAAGGAGCCAAAGAAAAAGCACAAGAAACATAAAGACACCAAGACACACAATCACACACACAGAAATCCCTAAAGAAACAAAATCAGAAGCCATCATATCTAAGCAAAAGGCTCGAAAGGTTAAAAAAAAAAAAAAAAGAAAATGTAAAATGCTCGGACCAAGTCTGAACCAGTATTATGAGACAAAACCTTCCCCAAATACCACTGAGTTGATTTTGTGTTGGCCAGGCTGGCCTCAAACATGAAGGCAATGTTTTCCGCGGTTGGACAAGGGCCAGGTTACGGTGTTCCACTTCATATCGTGAGACAGGCTTGCAGTTGTGTTGTTTAAACTGATTTTGAACACGCAATCTTTCTTTGTTACCAAACATGGGATTCCAGGCATGTGCCACTAGGCACGGAGTCTATTATATGTTATTTATTTGTTTATTTATTGATTTATTAGGTTTTTTTTTTCCTTTTTGAGACAGGATGTCTCCATAACAGTCCTGGCTGCCTTGGAACTCACTCTGTAGACCAGACTGCAGTTGAACTCACAGAGATCTGCCTGTAACCCTAGGACTCCTTGGCCTAAAAGTGTGTGTCATTATACCCAGAAGCATTGTACTTGTTCTTTTAAAAATATAGCATTTATTCTCATTAGAACTTGTCCAGAGATAAGGTGTCTTAGACACCGGATAACGCCTACAGATTAAAGAACTGCAATATATATATATATTTATCAAATGGATCAAAAAATAAACTGAATGGATGTCTTGAAAATGGGTGAAGATTTGATGGGGCTTAGGATACAAATCAACAGCAGGACACCTTTAATCCCAGCACTTGGGAGGCAAAGGCAGGTGGAACCCTGTGACTTTGAAGCCACACTGGTCTACAAGAGCTAGCTCCAGGACCGGCTTCTATTTTTTGTTACTATTTTTTGTCTGCATTTGAGAAGAGAGGCTGTTTGTTGTATCTGCATCACAAACCGTCTCGTACAAGAACAGGTTCCATATCAAAGGTGAATGGTGAGGGTGTACACACCCAGGAGATTTACTGAGAATTTGTTTGGATTCGCTCTCCACCTCCACAGCCCCCGGCCAAATGGGATAGCTTATAAGGAGGTCCTGTGCCTGTTGCTTAGGTGAGTGTTCTGTCAAAGCCTTCTGTGAGGAGGAGCCTGTGTCACCGTTTCTGTTTTGTGTGCTATCGGAGGAGGTGTTGAACAGGTATGAGAACCAGAAGTGTGGGAAGAGAGACATGGATCATCCCCAAAATTTCCACCAGAGTCACCAAAGCCACTCTTAACTTTCAGGTTAAGTAGAGAATTCCCCTGCATCAGGGGTTGTGGTGTCTGAGGAAAAGTCATCCAGAGACGCTCACTATTTAGGTGACTTCTGAGCTATCTCTGCATTTGCAACCTACAGCTTTGCTTTTTCAGACAGGGTCTTGTGATGTAGCCCCAGCTGTTCAAACTCCTGGTGATCCTCCTGCCTCTGCTTACTGAATGCTGGGTAAGTGTGACACCACAAGCAGCCATTTACTACCCTCTGAAGGAGTCCCGTTCTGGTTCCGGTATAGAATTCAGGTCATCAGGCTTGGCAATGAGTAAAATCTGGTAAAATCTTTACCAGATTTTACCCACTTTTGAATGAACTGTGGGAACTAAGGCTTAGGCCGGTCAGGAAGAGCTGTGAAGCTGGGGCTGGGGCTTTAAGTCTTAAGGGGAGGTTGCAATGAAGGCTCCGGGCTCCTGGGGCTTAGCTTGGGGAGGTACATTAGGAGAGGCCATAGGGCAGGCTCTTCAGTCTAGAGAAGAGATCATGAAGTCCCAAACTGGGATGAAGATACATTTTTTTTTTTTTTAAGTGGAGGGGATGAGAGATGGAGGTCAGAGGTTTCTGGAGAGGCTAAGCAGAACAGAGAAGTTGAATGGGGATGGGGGTGGGAGAACGTGGGGGAGAGCGACTTGAATTTGATTCTAAGGCTTGGACCCAAAGAATGCAAGCTATTGCACGTCCCTTCAAAATAATAGCCCCTGACATCTTACTGGCCACACCAAGAAATGGAATTATGTAGGCACTGTATCTTTTAAAAGAAATCCCCTTTGCAGCACTTCCTTAAAACTAAGTATTTATTGCAACTCTGCCAGTGTGTCCCTGATTGTGTCATTAATGACTTGAGCCCCAACTTCATGACGGGTGGAAGCGTGTCTTTCAGGTGAGTGCTCAGCTTACGTGTCTCCCGGCCCTTTGTATTAACTGCAGTTTCTCCTTCGGAGGGATGTTTCGTGGGCAATTGTCTTATTGTCTGTTCAGTTGCAAGAAGTGTTGAGCCACTAAGGTGACTGCCGTAGTTCTGTGACTGGTAAAGTTTTTCTTCTTCTTTTTTTTTTCTTTCTTTCCTTTGTGGTCTCTATTTGTGACAGGCTTTGGCTCTGGCCGTGGCAACCCAAGCTTGAGGGAATCCAGATCCAGCCCCAGAAACTGCATCTTCAACACACACTTCAGCGCAACCTCCAAGCTCCTTTCCTTACCGTTCAGAGAAACCTTGCTTTGGAGGCTGTTGAATATTTAGTTCAAAAGACAGCGAGTGTTAGCACCGAAGAGCGAGGTCATGATTGCCGAAAAGCCATGGATGGTTTTTAAAAACACCTAATAGTGATAATGTTCATTTGGCGGGTGGGTTAGTGTGTGGCTAAAATCTCATTTGAAGCTGACAGGACAGACTTGAGCTCGAGGTTCATGTTTAAGATTGCGGATTGCAGAGTGAGTGTGAGGCTAGCCCAGGCTCCTTACTGTGGATTATATAGAGAGTGTGAGGCTAGCCCAGGCTCCCTAGCCACTGTCACAAAAGAGCAAATAAACAGACCACCCAAACTGATTAATAGCCGAGACTGGATTTATGAATGTTCTTATGCTTTTTTTTTTTTTTCGGTATTTTGAGGCAGGGTTTCTCTGTGTATCCTTGGCTCTTCTGGGGCTCACTCTGTAGACCAGGCCAGGCTTGAACTCACAGATCTCCCTGCCTCTGCCTCCTGAGTGCTGGGATTGAAGGCGTGCAGTGGACGCCACCACCCACCACTTGGCCTTACGTTTTCTTTTAAGTGATTTGAAACCAAGATAAAGTATTATGTGATGACCTCACTGTATGACTTGCTATTGCATGGTTACTATAACAGCATTAAGTTAAAACACTGCCAGGCTGTGGAGGCGCACGCCTTTCATTTCAGCCCTCAGGAGGCAGAGGCAGGCAGATCTCTGAGATCAAGGCCAGCCTGGTCTAGAGAGGGAGCTCCTGACAGCCAAGGCTGTAACACAGAGAAACCCTGTGCCACATTTCCACACCTTTATCTTTTGACCTTTATCTTGTGACCATTCCACCATTCGGCAAATCACGCGAGTAGGGAGCACTTAAGGCATTCATCTGACAACCGGGGTTTTGGGGAATTCTCGAGGTTAAAAAAAAAATCAACTTCTAACCCCCAGAAGCCGATGTCCTCTGGCTTCTAAGCATAAGCATTCTACACTGGCTGCCGTGCTGGCTCAAGGCCAAGAGGTCTATTTCTTTTCTAAAGAGAAAAGGGGTGGGGAGTTGCTAAGGTAAAAAAACTGAATTTCAAAATTTTTAAATGGAAAGCATTTGGGGGTGAATTCAGATAGTCTCTCATATAGCCCAGGCTGGCAACAAACTCCAAATTGAGCCAGTCTTCCTGATTTAGCTTTTTGAGTGCTAGGATTAAAGTAGGAAAACAGGTTTGCCCCTCCAAGCCCAGTTTATTTAAATATTTTAAGAATTTAAAAAATGGCTTTTTTGTTTGTTTGTTTGTTTGGTTTGGTTTTTGGACAGCGTTTTCTCTGTAGCTTTGGAAGTATTTAAATACTTGGGATTCTCCAATATGTTCCCGTTCTTCTGTGTTCTCCAGCAGTTAAGCAGTGAAGGTGACCACCTTAGCTCTCTCCACAGAGCAGATGTCTAGGAACTGAGCTGAGCTGAGCTCTGCAGGTAAATCTGCTTGCACTGTGAACAGGAGGACCAGTGCTTGGGTCACCAGAACTGGAAATACTGACGTGCTAGTTAGTTAGTTAGTTCCTTATTGGTGCCTTTCTTCATTTTCTCTTTCTTTCTTTCTTTCTTTCTTTCTTTCTTTCTTTCTTTCTTTCT